ATTTTTCTTCATTTATCTCAAAAATAAGATAATAAAAAATATATAAATTCACATATAATCACATAATTAGCCAAAAAATGATATTAATTAATTAAAAACTAATTTTCACAATTTAACATAAATCTAAATTTATTTCTCATGAGTTACAATTAAAACTATATTATTAATTAATAATTCACTCATGATAATAAAGATTTATCGATAAGGGAGAATAGTCTAAACCTAGAGAGGTAGGGGATCCTCTTGAATCCCATTCCCACCACTCCTCTCCTTCACCTTTGTTCTAATAGAATTTTCATTTTCACATTCTATCAACACTACATTGTCTAAGTTTACTAAATCAATATTGTTGATTTTTTTTCCCTTGATTTGTTTTGATCCAATCTTTCTAAAGAGGATAATATCATTGTCATTAGAGCCAATGATCTTAGAATCACACAACATGACACCAAAGATAGCAAACATCTAATTTGAAGCTCTAACAACAGTCAGTTGAAACCTACAAGCATATTAATGAAGGATGGTGAAGATATACGAAACTCACAAGAAGAATATACAAATCTGATGGTGAACTCCTACAGAACATGCAATAGTTTCAATTTATAGTAAGTGCTTGTCTAGGTGTGTTGGAAAATAAGGAGACTACTAATTCACAATCAGCAGCACTATTCCATCAATCTCAAATAGAATGTCAACTAGAGGTACAATCCTCCATGCATCTTCAATAAACTATACCAAGTGAGCCTACCAAATACCAATATTTCAAGGTGAAAATCAACAAGGCTATGTACGATGTATTGAACAATTATTTAAGTTAAACAAGGTAGATGAACAACTCCAATTGGTAGTTGAATGGCATTGTAGTTGAATGGTATTTATGGAAGGACAATAGGTATTAATTCCATAATTGGCAAGAACTCAAGATTCAATTGGAAAAATATTTAGAGACCATTATCTTGGGCAACACCTTTCAGAGATTTTTAAATATTTAACATGATCATATGCTCACATAATACATGACAAAATATGAATGCATATCTACTTAGCTGCCCAAACTTCAAGATATTGCAATGGATAACACACATGTCAAGGGATTAAAAACTGACATCTAGGTAGAGCTGGCTTGCATGAAACTAGAGTATGGATGGATATTATGGATGCATCAGTGGAGGCAAAAGTAATGAATCTACAACCTATAAGACACATAGGATAATCATCTTCCCAAATTATCTTGACAAGGCACATTTACTCTATTTAAAGTTGCTGACAATCATTCTTCTTCTTTACCAAGAACTAGCAAATGCAATAAGGCTGCAAACACTTCTAACTACCTTGGATGGCACTCCAAGAGCATCCCCATGCTTCAAGTAATAGGGAAATACTCCTAGAACGGTAGACAGATCACTCTCATAGATGTAGAATATCATAGTTGCCATGAAAGAGACCTTTGTTTACAATATGAAAAAACATTCAGATCAAGACACCATTGCAAAAAGAACTTCAGATTCTGATTTTTCATGAAGAATTCCATGAAAAAAAAAATAAAAAAATACATATATATATATAGATATATATATGAAACCAACACCCACAAGAAGAGACATTATTCACAATACAAGTGTCTCTTAATTAGTGGTGGGACTCACCCAAACATGAACCATGAAAATGAAAGGAATTCTTCAAGGGCAAGATGTCATGATTTTGATTGATTTAGGTGCGACACATAACTACCTATGCTTGGAATTATGCACATGACTCTATTTACCTCTTTACAAAGTAGTGAATTATGGTATTAATATAGTAAATGATCAGTCCCTATGAAGAAAAGGCCTATACAATGACATTTCCCAAGAGGTTCAAGGTTTAGTTATAAGACAAGATATTTTGCTACTCATTCTAAGAAATACAAATGTTATAGTTGGAATGCAGTGGCTGAGTTTGGTGGGATGGATGCATGTCAATTGGGGAAAATTGATTATGAAATTTCCAAATTAGATTTGAAATCAATATACTATCAAATTCACATGAAGGAGATAGATGTTTCAAAAACAGCATTCAAAACCTTCGATGGGCATATGAATTTTTTTTTATTGTTCTAGCTACAAATAGCCTTCGGATAAATGTTAAGAAGCGTCAGTTTGCCCACCACTCTATTCAATATCTGGGTCACTAGATATCAAATGAGGGAGTTGCTGCAGATAACGGCAAGATTTCTGCAATGCTTGACTGATCTCCCCACAAGAACATTGGCAAGTTGAGAGAATTTCTTGGGCTCGCAAGCTAGTATACAAAATTTGTTGCTAACTATGCTTCCATTACATAGCCCCTTACTCACCTACTCAAGAAATTCTTATGACTAGAGTCGACTCTCAAATATCATATGCCTGACTTAAAAAGATGATGACGACCACTCCAGTATTAGCTTTGCCCAATTTCTCACTTCGTGCTAGAGGCAGATGCTTCAAGAAGCGTATTGCCATCTCCTTCCTCCACTTCTAATTCCGCTTCCACTTCCCCATCCTTGGCCTTCCACTCCTCCCCAGCAATGACATCCACAACCGCTCCTTCACTCCCCTTCGTCTTCTTCTGCTTCTTCTTGGCAACACTTCCAAGGCCATCCTCCTCGCCGACCAACACTTCCCTCCTATTCATTCCTTGCGGCGGCGGCGGCAGGTGGCGGGTGACAAGCTGACGCCGTCTTCTTCCTCCACTTCTACGTCCCCATCCTCGGCCTTCCACTCCTCCCCGGCCACAAAATCCACAGCCGTTCCTTCACACCGTTTCTTCTTGGTGACCCTACCAAGACCCTTCTCTTCGCTGGCCAATGACTCCCCTTCTTCATTACTTCCCTGTGGCAGCGGCGGCAGGTGGCGGGCAGACGGCGACGTCGATGACACCAATCTGAGAGCAGCCAGCCAGTGGGAAAGGAGGCTTCGAATGGCCCAAATTACCCTGCTGCCAGAGATGGATATTTACAGGAGGGGGTGCACGGTAGGGGGTGAGGGCCTCTCCCTCCCAAAGGAGTGGGACTACTGCCATCGCTGGAGGACTGATGTAGGTGAATTGAGCTAGCCCTCCCTAGAGCTGGCTGCCACAGCACTATCGATGCATGAAAGAACTTGATGTCTTGGCCAGTAGCTAGATTTTACCTCTTTCCTACGCTCTCCCTATTATTTTTCTCTTATTTAGTAGATGTGTTGTTTGTCACATCGAATATCTTTCTAATGAACGCCTATACCTGACATAAAAACTTGCATCCAAAAAAGTATTTAATAGATAATTTCCACTGTTTTGATTTTTAGACTTTAATTTGTTGAGATTTATACGTCATGGGTACAAAATTCCTTTACTTAAATATTATCATATATTACTCTTTTCATTATGAAAACACTTAATGCTACTAAAAGTCAACAATAAACAACAGATTTCTCATGCAGCTGAACCAGGGGAACCGGAGATGGCTCCAGAACGGATCAGAACGCGAGACACCAGTAGAAGGCGAGCCAGTCCCCATTCCAGAAGCATGGAGCCTATATAACTCCCGATCAGCGAGAAAAAAGTATTACCTGCTGTAAGGGAGAAGGTAGGAAGAAAGAAGTACCAGAGTCTTACCTGCTGTAAGGGAGAAGGTAGGAAGAAAGAAGTACCAGAGTCTTACCTGCTGTAAGGGAGAAGGTAGGAAGAAAGAAGTACCAGAGTCTTAACTGCTCTAGGGGTTACCATAGAGTCTCACCCACTCCAAGGGTGGTATTGAGTTTGACACGCTCTAATCGTCGTTATCTTCCCCTCCCTTCTAGCCTCATCCTCGTTGCTCCCCGTTCTTCCACCCTCCTTACTCTCCCGTGTTCCTACGTCCTTCCTGAGACATACCTGGGCTACTCATGTTTCTCTCCCTCTCCCACGTCGTGTCTCTTCCCTCCTGCAACCTCCCTTGTACTTTACTGTGAGTCAACAGCAACTGTTCCGCCCGCAATACTCTCGTGTCACCATTTCCCTCCTCCTCGGCCAGATCCGACGGTGCAGGAGTCTATCGCGTCGTGACATCTTCGCGGCGTCTCTCTCTCTCTCGCACAGCGGTCCGGTTATTATCCTATCCATCCGGACTCATCATCTTGATGAACGCCCTGTGCATTCCAAGTTCGAGCAAGAGGGTTTTCGTATCCTTAGATTAAAAAAACCAGAAGAGGCATGTTTATTCGTACAACTTAGTACAATACCTAGCATCATACAAGTAGTTATTGCCAGTCCTTTTAATGAACACTATAGTAAGGAAGAACTCACCGGGTCGCATGAGCAATTTAGTGATAGTAGTGAGCTTCACAAGTTCACACAAGTTATGGCTCTTTTCCCTTGAGATTCCACGTAGCAGTTCCCTGTCATCCCATATGATTCCTATTGAGCAATTATAACATTAAAAAATAGATTTTGTTAATTTAAAAAATTCAGTATTATCGTCATAATTGTTCTTTGGAAGCATACAATGCAGTGACAGTTGACGTTGTTGTCAACTTCCAATCGATAACTTCCAGAATCAAATAAGATGGTAAATTCTAGTAATGTTCAATCGTACGTACTCGTGTATACTGTATCTTCTTAAAAAAGACTAGTATTCCGTGAATTTTTTTAGGTCAATGATGTTATTTTTCCCATTTATTACGGGATGGGTACCTAGAGTTGCAAAAGTAAAGATCTTGGCAAAATTTATGCCGAAGCATGCGTGTTTCTAGTGCAGTCTCTTCAGGATCTTGATTTTTTCTGTTTTCGCTGTAAAAGTGTTGAACAATCTTGGTTTTCTGATAGAGAAACTATCGGTTAATGGGAGAAGAAGAAGGTTTGTTTGAGCTGTACTGGAAAGAAGATACCAAATCCGCTGAAGCGGAAATCGTGAGCGTAGTTTCGTGTGTTGGGGGGAGGGTAAGGGCAGTTCTTCTCCCTGTCGGCTTCTTCCCGACGGATCATTGCAGGTTGGATAGGGGGGAAGTGCAGTTCGGAGGGCGAGGATGAGTGGTAAGGTTGTGTGCGTCACCGGCGCCTCGGGGTACATCGCCTCATGGCTCGTTAAGCTACTCCTCCAGAAGGGTTACGCCGTCAAGGGATCCGTGCGTGATCCAGGTGAGGAAACCTATGTTATGCGGTCTATTTTTCCAATTTACAATGTTCTGGCGATAATAATATAGTGCGGCGCCTTCCGTCGCGTGTAAGCCCGGAGATGGTCACAGAATTTTTGCTCGGGAGTTTCCTTCTTTACTCTGCTTTGGGATCAGGACGGGGCTCCGGACCTTTCTGTTCGGTTGCATCCTGGCCTTTTCTGCGTTGAATCTGATGATGAACACTACTTACCTCTTTTGTTCTTTCGAACTTTCTTTTTAGTCGCTGTTTTACACCTGATTTTGGCATCAATTAATGAGATGGAGTTTTAGATTCGAACTCGCGGTAAAAACAAAAGGGATGAATAGGAGCAGAAAAATAAGTTGATAATACACTGGTTGAAGAGAGTCTAAACAAGACTTATCCTTACAGATTATCAGTCTACAGATTGGGTGACTCGCAGGCAGGCCCAACAGCTCTCCTTGGAGATTATTTGATTTTTTTTAATGATTATTACCATCGTTTTGTCACTTTACTCGTGATAAGTACTCATTTTCATTCACTTGGAATCTAGCTCCGGAGGTTTCATAGTCTGTGGAGCCAGATTTGATGCATCTAGGGGCCGTAACAGTTCTCAAACTGTGCCTTTACTAAACATGTTCCTAATAGTATCCTATGCTATCTGTCTGGGGTTATTTCGTCGTATGCATACTTTTCTGTTTTCCAACTATCCGCCAACAGTCAGTAGAGCATTTCTGCCTTGAACCCTGACAGATTTTTTTTATATTCTCTAACCTATGTTGCAATAGATATCTTAGCTCTGTGCATTCATGGACATGTGGCAATAGATATCTTAGCTCTGTGCATTCATGGACATGTGGCAATAGATATCTTAGCTCTGTGCATTCATGGACATGTGGCAATAGATATCTTAGCTCTGTGCATTCATGGACATGTGGCAATAGTTCCTCGTGTATCTAATGATCATATATTACAATTCATGCATTCCCTATTGATGGGACGCCGTGTAAAGTGCATGAGTGATGGCTTCACGAGTCCAGGTTAATGTCACCATGCATCATGAGTGATATTTCCCTTTGCCTAGGATCTTTTCTTCCATCAGTTACACCGCTTCTCCTCATGGCTACCAGCTGTATTTTTCTAGGACCATTCCTTTGATGTGCCTCCGACTTTTTGGATGTTATTGTGGATATTATGAACTTGGGGTGATCCTATGCATCTGCTGAAAGGGATTACACTGGAAGAATTCACGCCATTTGACATACAAATGTCATGACATTTATAATCAGGACTTGGAAGTTTGTCCTAGCTCCATGAGACACTGGACATTGGAGTTTCTAGGTTCAGCGTCTATAAGGATAAGAGATACATTTTCTACGATTGAGAAGAATATGACATAATATCTCCAAACTTATCTTTTTCTGACATTTTACCTCTGCCTCTGTGTTTGTGTTTTTTTATTTGTCTCGTGAGTTATGGTTGCACTTTTGATTAATTCTTCAAGCCAAAAACAGAAAGAACAGCTCAACTCAAGTGGAGCTTATACAAAGCAAATACAATTATCTTGAACCAGAAAGAAGATAATACCTCAGCTCCACGTTACACAAGCATATCCTTATTTTACATTCTTGGGATCCTTTGAATCATATCATATAGAGCAATTCTTTATGAGTTCAAGATTCCATCTTTCAGATACGGAGAATTTTTTGGTTGTCTGTCATTTCCTAATTCCAATTCCACGAGAGGCAGAGACGCTTACATCCATCTCACTCTCTGGATGCAAAATTTTCCTAGCCAGGGAACCTTCACTAAAAGTTTGAAAAAGTATATTTCCCTTGGTCTCTGATGCGGACAAGTCAGAATTGGCATCAGTTTCTGTTAATCCTTAAGATGGGTTTTGCTCATTGAGAGAGCAGAAAAATTGGCCAACACTTTGGACTTCTTCAATGGTCAGTCAAAGGAATCATTAAATGTTTTAGCATAAGTAATGTTGTACTTTTCATGCTCTGTTGCTGTTTCCCTCTTTCCTTCTGCATAGTTTACTTTCCTCTGTGGGATACATTTTTATGTAAACTGATCCCCACTGATATTAATGCGGTCTGGCCATGCATTCATTTTACTTTTTAAAAATGTGATTCCCTTGTTGTTTATCCACTCAAATTTTTTAATTCTGTACATTTTTTGATATGATATTTCAGAAGAGCCTAAGAAAACTGAGCATTTGCGTCAACTAGAGGGTGCCAATGAAAGGCTACATCTACTAAAGGGAAACTTATTGGAAGGGTTCATTTGATACGGTTGTTGATGAGTGTGAATGTGTCTTCCATATAGCATCGCCTTTCTTTAATGCTGTCAGAGATCCACAGGTTAGTGTATATACAATATTTTTCCTTTCTTGTTTTCAACTTGACTGCACTTTTTATTTCTTTTTGCATCATGGTCTCTGATGATGTCTTTTAATATTTTTTTCTGTGCCCTGCGTAGTCATGTCATTAGGGACATTGATCCGAGACTAAAGGAAAAATTGATCTAAGAATAGAGGTCTGAACGAATGAGAATTATATGGCTCGTGATTCATAATTTTTAGTGGTAACAGATGTATAAACGCAAATAAGTAATGGTACATAAGTGATCAACGTGTCAGATCTGGTTTATTGTAAATAGCAGAGAATGATGGCCATTTTGGATATTCCACCCATTATAAGTGAGATTTCTATGTTATGTATGACTGTGACTTGGAGCATCTTGGTTGAAATAGACTTCTCTATTTTATAAAGGAAAAAAATCTTCCCAAACTGTGCAGGCTTATTCCAAAACCTACGACCTTTTAGATGTATGTGATAATAGATAGACTGATGATTTTTGGTGAAGAGGTAAACAGCTCGATTAATCATTTCATTCAAATATGATCAAGAAGTGATAAGTAGCGAGTGCACCATTTTGGTGTTTCGATTGAAATACCCCAAATGACATTTTACATGTTCAAAACTCAAACATATTGATAAAAAAGTGTAGATCCATCAGCATTTTTCATTATTTCTTGCTTTCAGTTCATATTCATTTTCACTGGTCATAGTCCAGTTTCAGACTGGGTCTATAAAAGATTGTAAAGGAAATTATTCATATTACATGAGCAGAAAATATTATTGAACATAAAAAATTATAATATTATGGATTATAAGTTGAAAATTATTCAGATAAGAGATGATTCAAAAAAAAGTGAACTAAATTAATTCATTAAACCATTTAAAATTTATTGGTTACCACATTGACGTGGTCAAAGGATCATTAAATTTTTGAAAAGTAATGAATAAATGATTAATCCAGCAGATAAGATTCATACAAATGAAACAAGTAATTTAGAAGATAAACTCAAATCAATTGATAGAAACCAATAGTATTTGATGTAAACCTGTTTAGTGTTAACTGCAACACACCTTAGAGAAGGTGTCATACAGCTGCAGGTGGGATGTGCACCATCCAGGCTTTGTTGTTAGTACGGACTAAAAAATAGACTGAACAAATTTCAATAGTGTCACTGTAATTGATGTGGCGGCCTTGGCCAAGTGCATGGGTTCAGGATCCATATCCTTTGCAATCAATGAGTGTCATATGGAAGAGAAAGATCTGTTTCAGTGCTCTCACTTAAGAAATTGTGTCATCAAATTGACTATGGTAAGAATTAAAAGTTGATCCAAGTATGGCACCTGGTAGGTTTCCCACCTCATGTGCCTGCATAGAGTGATTTTTATCAATATTCCTTGTTCTACATATGTTCTTTCATTACGACAAGGATTCTTTACGATTATGTAATTTGAAAACAATGTCAGTGCTCCATTTTTTCATGTAAAACTTCCACCTTGCTGATCAAGGTTATAAATAAGGCTACTATTTGGATCCGTTGTCTAGGCTGCCATGACAAAACCCATCTAGATTGTTACCAGATTAGCCTTGTTTACTGATCATAGCCATTGCCGTCATTGTACCATCTAGCTAGTCATTTTTCCAGGCAGGTCAAGTCAGGTCCAATCGGCTAGGAATCAGCTCATCTGAGTTGAATTGCCAATCTCTTCTTGAATATGGATGAATTAGCCAATTCTAGGCATACTTAGGGTGATTGAGTTCAGGAAAATCTTGTCCAACAATGATTCCTGAAGTGATCAAATACCACTCTTAGTTGTAGTAAAATGGAGATATTCCAGATAAAATAGAAGACAGAATGTAATTTCATCTAAGTGACCTTTCCTATTATTGATTCAATAGGTGGTGTCATTTCTGTATATTTTCTTATTGATCCTGGGACATTCTTGAAGGTTTGGATTGAACAGTGCTGTGATTAGTCATCCTTGATATTGACTCAAAAAAATGTTGTCAATCTAATCTGAAATTTGTACAAACCAATGTCCCTGAAAGACTATGTACAGGTCAAACAAAGAAGTTTAAGTCCTTGGGTGAGTATTATAAGTTTTATTCGGTGTTTACATAACTTTATAACATAACTTTATTTAGTTTAACTTGTTTTCTTCTGTCTTTTACAGGGATGGTTAGTTTGTCTTGTTTGGTCCTTGAGTGGTATCTCTTAATTTCTATCCTCCATAATCTTGTTACTGTTAACTATATCCTTATAATGTTTCCATTCTCTCAGTATCTTTCATTGAGCAGTGTTCTCAATATGCAATTCATAGGATAACTTTAGGATCTTGTAAGCTTAAGTAGGCTTTTAGGTTTGCAATTTAGGATTTGTGGAAATTTGTCAAAACCATAATCTTCTTGGTAGTTGACAACCTTAGACTCTGAAGCAACTTGACAAATCTGTTTTTGTTGTATCTCAAAAGTCAGGCATTGACACTTTCTCTAATTTCCTGACATTTTTTTTTGCTCTGTGACACTTTTCTCTCATGTAATCCTACATCTTTTAGAGTCAAACTGTTACTTTTGGCTGTTCACACAGTCTCAAAGTGATTAATTTAGTATTTTCTCATCAAAATCATCAACAACAGGATTTATGTATGTTAAAAACACACAAAAGAAGAGTAAAAAATCATGATGTAAGCATATTGTGGCTCTTGTTAAAGTAGTATTTGAAAGGGCAAGAGGTTGAGGTCTTTCATGATCTTGATGAAAGAACGTCACAAATGGTGGTGTCTAATAAGTCTAATATTGGATACTAGATGAATTTGAATTTCAGGTTGAGTTAAATGACCCTGTTGAGGAGGCTTTCTATTAGACCTTACCACATGATGTCTTCTTCCTCTTATGTGGACTTGAACCCAACATGACAACGTGGGAACATAAGTCCAATTAAAGAGGACTTTGCATGCACAAATGTAGCAGGGTGCATGTTAGCTCTGGAGCTAGCATACATAGTGCCAATTGTTGTGGAGAACACATGCAGCCATGCCATATGTAGATTGGGAGCTTTGTAGTGGTAGCGCAACTAGACATGCCTAGAAATCTAGCTCAATGTACTAAGGCAACTTCCAATTGAAGTTACTTGTCTCTTCTTAGAGTTCCATGACATGATGCTTGAAGTTTTTCTAATGTGAATACCATCTCAATGTGTATAGACAGCAAAGTTGATGTCAAGTTGACCATGGACCCATAAATATTTATATAATATAAGATGTTATTGATGCACTTATAAGAACTATGCAAAGAGTTAAAGGAGGGTCACATCTCTTGTTCTTAGATACTTGACGTGACTTAATCATTGTATAATAAATCACGTAAATTTACATATTTATAAAACTAGAAAATACTAATTTTTAGATATTTAAAAATATTATTGAACAAATATATCAACCATAATTTAATAAAATTTTTAAAAATAGTAAAGATTTTTTAAGTCAATCATAGGGATATAATATAATTTCGGATAATTTTTTAAATATTTTTCAAAGAATATGATTTTTTAATAATTTTTAGACTAAATAATGAAGATAAAATATATTTAATATTCATAAAAAAAAATAAGAGAGTAGATGTTAGGATGATGTTAGTGACCAGTCGAATGTGAATTGGGTGGAAATAGAGTTTCACATTATAATTTTTGTGTAAGTGATTACATATGAATTAATTGGTCAAATTAAGATCTATAAAAGCTAGAAAAAATATAATTTACTAAAAAATTAAACTTTTAATTATATGAATTATCATTAAATTAGGTAAAAAATCTTTATTTAGGAGGACCTTGGCATTCGTTGCATCTCATTTTGAAGTCTAGAAAATGAAGCTGTAAATTAAATTAGTTAAAAATAGTAAAATAGCATTTTGATGTCACAGTGGTGATATATGGAAATCCTAAGCATTCAAGAAGATTATCGTGTAATGTCTATGGCCTCAAAGGCTTTCCTTAGATAAGAACGACATAGGTAATTTCTAAATCTTTTTGTAAAATTTATAAATTAATAAAGTGAGTTGACAAATCGTCTCTAGTGACTATCACCTGATAGAGCGAAAAAATGATGACTTTATAGATTTTTGATGATTGTCATCATAGTTATAAATTAGTAATTATATTTATATATTAATATCTTATATATGAATGATAATTAATAGGTAGATAATATAAGTATACATGTGTTATTAACTCATTATGACATTCATAATAGTTTATCATTTAAGTCTTAATATATATAATTTTATTTATATTATGAGACTAACACTACTTGACTTTAATGAAGTCAAATGGTGATTCTCTCACATTTTCTTAATAATTATTTGATTTCAAAGACTTAAGTGAGCTCTTATTATGAGTCGGAAGTAATAGAAGAAGCTCAAGCTTTCAATTCAATGAAAAGTCAAATCTTATGAAAAGAGTCGGCCTAATATATTTATGGGCCTAAGAGAAGGCATCACTTTGGCCTAGCCTATTTAGACTTAAAAGGGTTATTAAAAGATGAGATCTAAGTCATTCATCTTAAAACATCTTAAGATGAGATTAAGAGAAGTATTAGAGTACTACCTTCATGAAACGATCTAGGTTATTAATCAAGAGAGTTAGTTATTAATCATAACCGTCCATTAGAGGGGCCTAATTCTCAAGAAGATTAAGGCATCTCACCCCCTATGCAGCCATCTAGAGCACAGTGTCACGTGATACATAGAGAGCCATGTCATCAAATTAACCAGATCCTACAGTTGGCAAATAGTCACGATGCTAGCTGTATAAAGTAATCCATTAATGGTTTGTAGATCCAACACCGCTCAACACACATGTACCCTTGAAGGCTGATCCAACAACTATGGAGGTGCCATGGTATCAGAACTTAAGTTCCTAATTGGCAGCGGTTC